CACGTGTTTCTGCTAAAAGAATAAGTTTACGAATTCGTGCTGGCAACTTTATGTCAATTGAAAAATAAGTTGTTATTTGACAAGCACGACGAAATTAAAAGTCTTTAATAAAAAAACTTCTCATGTACTGTAATCATTATATTTTCCATATGTTCAACTATTCTAATATTTGATGATTCACTTCTGGACAAGCCTTACCTGTTCTCCTCTTTTTTTTTCTAGATTGCATATTTAATATCGAACTTCTTAATCGGGAGAATAAAATAAATGCTTTATTTTGCACCATCTATCACCAATCATCATTCGATTTATTCAAAGTTTACAAATTTTATGTCTGTGCGTTTCATTCTACGAATAATTTCAATATCTTTCCCGCTTGATAGACCATACACTCTCGATTAACCATACACATATTTCTCTTAACTCTATCGAAAATATTAAGTCAATAGAATAGATTAAAGTGTGAAACATATTGACACTACCCTCAGCGTTAAACGTGCAAAAAGAAAATTTGTAGACGACTGTGCCAGCTAACATAGGTCTTGTATTGGTCGATAATATGATAATACCTATGCAATCTTGAACGAATCAAATGGTGATTAGTTATAGACGATATAAAATAAATTCTCATTTCACTCTTCAGATTGACAAGAAGTTCGATATTAAATATGTACTGTAAAAGAAAAAGAACGACTGCAAAGACTTTTGTTCAGAGATGTATAATCAGTTTGACGATGATGTGGAAGCATCAATAACAAGTCCAATTATATATTCTAATAATGTGAATTTAGCTAATTGAGGACATGATAGTGTACTCTCAGAATGAAGACATTGAAAGTTAGACAAAGGATCATATGATTATGTTGAGGATTAATTGATGCATATGAAGTTTTGCAGCATTCTGGTGAAGTGTCCAATTTGAAAGAAACTATTATTCTCGATGGAATCTATTCAGAATGTTCTGCTGATAACATGAGAATATAGAAATGAAATCTTCAGGAAATATTGGATTTCTCCAAAGAACGATATGATAATTCATTCATTGATTAATTCTCGAAATAATCATATTAAACAATTTTTTTTGTGTTTCATCAACAAGAAGTCGTAACTATAGAATAGTTGAAATTGTTTTTGAGATGATAGTCATAATACTATTCATTGAAAAAATGTAACATCGAAAGATATTCTTACTGAAATGTAAAATCAAAAAAAAAAATTTCGAAAATTATTTATCCTCTATTGTTCGTTTCGATGAACAAGCGAATATTCAAGAAGATATTATTAAAATCAAATTCATTGTGAGATACTCTTTATAAACTAAATATTCAAAATTGACACATTTGAATAATCACAGTCTGAAAATTAGGTACGAGTCAATCGAGTAGTACATGTAAATGATCAATTATTTGTAAAACTAAATCAATATGAAGAAGAATGTGATGAGCTATCATCGATTTGTTTACTAACAATCCATCGTTATCTTCCTCAGAAACAGTACACATAGAACATATTTGTCCATCGAACAATAATTGAATGATAGGTATATTGCTTGTTTCAAAACATGCCATAGGTTAACAAGATAAGAATTTATTTTCATTTTGACGAAGTTTTAACAATAGACGTACTTAAATTTCCATCAAGTTTGTTAATTGTTATATAAATATATTCAAGTTTTGAGAAATCTTTAATATATTTAGAAAGTAACGAACAATGATTGAATTATATGCTCAGATATACGAGCAAAATACTATTGTGCGATAGAAGTTATTCGTTTATATTACTCAATATTAATGATTCAAACTGAAGAATAGTTTTCGAATGAGAAAATAAATTTGACAAATAATAATATTCCTTATTTATGATTTTATCAAGCTTTATGTTTGTATATTCATCAAAAACCGGTACTACATAAATACATATTGACTCACTCTAGGCGCCGATTTACTAGGGACTTATACTAGTCGATAGAGCTTGACATTCTGAGTTATCTCGGAAAAAATATCACAAAGATAAAATGTAAAAATTTTTTACAGCCACCCTGGGCCAAAACTGTAAAAGAATAAATGTTCGGAAAAATGAAGTCAAATGTGGGTCGACTGTGAAATTAGAAGAACTCAGAATCCGAATTACGGAACTAGATTGTATTCGACTTGATGCGAGAAAGTTTCGATCCAATGATATAATCTTAATTTTTTTTGAAGAGATTTCCAGAGCGCATCGTTCAAAAAAAATCAAGGTTATATTATTCTTCTATATTGATGTGTATATCAAATAAGAGTGTCGCAATCATTTTGGTTCACCCGCTATGTGAAGAACAGTGAGTTTGAATGAGTCTAATTTGTGCATAAAATTCATTGCTCATGGTTACGCACTTCTCAATCATTTTTAGTAAATGTTTCTTTTCTCTGTCCGGATGACATTTCATTATTGAAGAAGATTTCTCATGTCTTACCATTTCCAAACAAATATTTGCTGATAAATATTAATTTTTGGATTATCTCATTCTTGTCGCATCCATATACAGCCAAGTTCATTTAAGCCTAAACATGGTTTTGAAACAAAAAAAAATGAAGTCATAGTATGGCAACAGTTTTTTGTAAGGAAAACCTGATAATCCGTTGCCTTCGGACCTCCATTCTCTGTTAGATTAGATCATGCTTATATTGTAGAGTTTGTTGATATTGTGCAAGAACATAGCAATGTCAGAGAGAAGTTACATGTGCTGGAAAGTTGAATCGTTGGATCGAGTCTAGGCAACTGCATTGACAGACCCATATCAGCGAGTATAGCAGCAATATATACTAGATGCTTTCATGAAGAGTCAAATATAAAACACAAAGACCTTCAATCATTTGACATACTATGTCTTGTACATATCTTTCTAGTTATTTGTGTAAAACTAGGATTTTCTATGTTCATCAAAAAAAAACAATTTACCCATCACTTACTATAATGCAGGCTTAGCTTACTTGTCTCGAAGATACGACTTCAACTTACATAAATTTAACACGTAAATGTATACGAAATAAAGCAAATGCATTGTCAGTTTTTGAACACACTCTACATGTTGCACCTCAGTCACTGCCTCAAAGTCATCTGTATGAATTGAATTCGAGCCAAACAAGATTGAGTATATTTAATACGAATGAGAACATTGAGACGACAAACTAACTTGATTGTACTGTACTATAATCCGCTTATCTAAAGTTCAATAAAAATCCTTCTTTTCTCAATACTAGTTGTTATATTATTAGGTATGTCAATAAGACGATTCACTTTTGTCTTTTTTCATAATAGTTCATCAATGAATATAAAAATCTATTAGTTTAACTTTGAGTTAAAACAAACTAAACCCATATCGATTTAGAACAACATTTGTTCATTAGTCATTTGTAAAGAGTAACTCAACATTAGAGAGTACATTTTATGAACTAAATTATAGTGAATATTTTCCAAATGAGAAAGATCAAAAAGAAAAACAAAAAAAAAACTTTTGAAAACGATTTTCATCTTTGCTAAATGAGATAAACATGTTATAGGAGAACAGAATTATTGAGTAAAAACTCCATATATTTTTCATAGCTTTTTTCAGTTTATCTTGTTATATTTTTTGATTATACATGGTAAAAATGTTTAAAAAATGGATTTTTTTATCTTTCTGAATAGATGAGATTTGAAGTTTTTAAGACCTCTCTACCCCTCAAAAATCGATCTCAGCCCAGGAACGTCCAAATGGTCTGAAAATTGGAGAACAGGTTGGGGCTGAAGGAAAAAAACTATAATAAAATTTTCAGCCCAAAATCATGAATTTTAAGGGAGATACTGACCAAAAAAGGGTGAAAAATAGGTGATTTCGCATCCCAAATTTCTTGGTTCAGACCCGTCCAATGTATTTAAATTATTTTTGTGTGAAAGAGCATGGCAAGATGCAGAACATGACGAGGCCCGATTTTTTGCATATCTGCTTTTTAAGCATAAAAAGGGATCAAAGGTTCAATGACTGAAAAAGTCTTCTAAAAATTGCTGCCAATCTATATAAATATCTATGTATTAAATTTAAAAAAGCCCTAATTAAAAAAACGGACCTCGTCATGCCCTGCATCTTTACACGCTCTTTCAAACAAAAACAAAATTTAAATATATTAGACGGACCTAGACAGAGAAATTTTGGATATGCGTTTGAGAAAGTGAAAAATGAGAAAAAACAAAAAAGATTCTTTGATTTTTCAAAAAGCCGCTGGCTTTTCAAATAGAGGGTCTCAAAAAACTTGAAGCAGTTTTGGGAAATATGAAGTATCGAGGAAAAATTTTTATCGTTTATGAAAGGACACATGACGGGCTATCTACCATGTATTTATCTCAATTTTTATGATTCTGACGAAAGTCGACTTCTTTTTTGAGGGGTGGGTGGGCCTTAATATAGAATTTTTATTTAATGCTATGTGTTTGAATTACATTTTTCACTATCTGTAGATAAATAAATCGGAAATGCTCACTGCTTTGTAAGAAAATAAAACAAAATAATGTATATGCAGAAAAAAAGATATTCAGTTTGTCCAGGTTGGAATAATTGTGTATACATGCAAAAATATATCATGCTATTCATTTGAAACATAACTATTGTCCAATATTTTTTATTTCTAATTAAACTTTGAATTTATATATATGAAATGACAGTTATCATTAATGTATCGAAATTAAAGATAATTGTTTTTATTGATCTCATAAATAATAACAGGGATACAAATGCCTATTTCTCTTGTCTATTTTCTCCACAAAAAGAATTGCCCGTTAAAATGTACTTAACCATATTACTATATTATAAATAAACAGATTTTATAAATATCCATTATATAACAATTATTCATTGGCTGAAAACGAATATCGTCATCCGCCATCAACTTAGACAATAGAAAACGCATCATTGTTTTCATTGACGTCAGCGGTAATATTTGAACAAATCAGTATTAATATAGAACTATTGACATTTGAATATAAACATGGAACATTCATCTATGCAATTAATAGATTTACCAGATGAAATACTTTTGATGATTTTCACGAAGTTAAACACTATAGATGCATTCAATTCTTTAATAGGTATAAATAAGCGACTAGATACAATTATAAAAGATCCTGTTTTTACAAACCATTTAACATTGTTCAAACTGTCATCAAATGATCTTATTCATCGATTAGATGATAAAGTAATTGAACGATTTTGTTTACAAATCTTACCACAAATTCATGATAAAATCAAATGGTTTAATCTTGAATCATTATCTATGGAGCGTATTCTTCTTGCGAGCAATTATCCTAATTTATGTGGGCTTGGTTTATACAATATTGATGAGGATGCAGCTACATATCTATTTTATCGTAAGAATTTCGATTTTTATTAAATTCATATAATTAATCTGATTATTAAAAACTCCGTTTAGTCAAACATATTTTTGTATATGAGCTCTATTTTATGATGAATAGAAACAAGAGTATATTTGCTAATAAAAAAAATTAACACATAGAAATAAAGACATTAGAAATATTTTCATAGAAAGGACTTCCTTATGAAATAGATAAATAATCAAACAAAAGTGAACTCTTAGTAAATGCAAATATTTTTCTCTTCGATTAGAAAGAATTACATCTAAAAAATCACCTGAAAAGTATCAATAGAAATGTTTCATCAAATTATTCGACAGATCTTGTAATAATATGTGAAGCATATTGATTTATTGTAATCAAAATCAAAATATTTTTCTGAGCATGTAATGATAGACAGAAAAACGTTTTTTGTTCTATTGTTACTTGTTAAGACTAAAAATTTGATCGTTTTCCTAGTATTCAGAAAGAGATGAGAAGTATTCATTGCCTTTTTTTTAGTTCACTTGTAGAAGTCGACTTAATATTGACTAAATACACGATAAATAGTTATTAATACATTTCCATTACATTAAGATAAAGGTTTCTGTTACTGAAGACAATCGTTTTAGTAAACTTGAGTATGATATAGTCATTTGGAGTCATTCGAATGACTTCAAAATAGTATTCTTCTTGGTTAAAACATAACAGTGAAGTGCTTAATGAACTGACATGTAGAACATATATATCTTTACTTATGTAATATGAAGAGTGTCTAATGAATGACAGTTCCTTTTCAAAGGTACTTAGTCATCAGAGAATCACTAGGACTTATTTATTTCTACATATTGGATAAAATCTTTTGCAGTCGTTTGATCTTTTTTTTTTTACTTAATTGCTATACGTTCGTTATTTACACACTACTTTTGTTCCGTTGATTTATCTATCATATTAGACTACTACACACAGTTGTCTAATCATTCAGTGGATCTCAAGACACATTACTTCTTATCTCGATCATATATGAAATAGTCATGCTAATTGTTATTTAAAGTTAGATCTCAATCGTTTGATATTTTTTGTATCGATGCTATGAAAACTGTCTAATCAATATACCTTTAGAAACTATGAATATTCAAAAGTCAATGAATGCATTGGACAATCCTAGAATGTTCTGAATGTCGTTATGACTATCTAGTGCCTGTTTTTGTTGCTAAGGAACTGCGTATGTATGTGGGAAAGACTATCTTGTATTCGTTGATCTCAGTTGATAAGATCTAGAGGAGAGTCGGGAAAAATCAATACTGAAGATGATTAATTGTTTTTCTAAATCATTTTGTATATTTATTTAGATGAATGTTCTGACTTTCATATTTTCAAAAATCAAATATTATCACTTGTCATTAAACTTGATGATAAAAAACAACCATTTATAAGAAATATACTAACACATATATTTAGATATATTTTGACCATGTTTACTAATTTATGTTATTTAAATTTTCAAGCATCTTCAATTTATTCTCAACAAATATCATTTGATACTTTACCTCGAAAACCTATTTTCTCTTCAACTTTATTAAAATTACATGTTAATTTAGAAAACTTCAATGATTGTCTTTATTTACTCGATGGTCGTTTAAATCAACTTCATACATTTTATGTTAACATATCTATTATTAATTCATATCGAACAATCATTAATAAAGTAAATTAATTTTTGTTAAAACAAATTAATCAAATTCTCTTTTTTGTTTCAAGGAAAAATTATTTAATCTAAAATGTTTTTCATTAACTTGTAATGTAAATACATCTGTATATGATGAACTTATTGTGCCACTTTTACATCGTATGTCAAATTTAGAAAAACTTGGTTTGTATCTACTAATTAATCATAATAGAACATTTGTTGATGGTAATGATTTAAAAAAAAATATTCTTAATTATTTGATACATTTAAAAAAATTTCAATTTAATATTCATTCATTTATTTCTATTCATAATCAAAGTAATTTACCATCTAATAAAGATATTCAACATACATTAAAAACAAATCTTGAAAATAAACAAATTATTTCTTGTGTTAATTATTTTTCTAAATGTAAAAAAGGTTATTGTCATATTTATTCATATCCATATTCAAATAGAATGAAATATTATCATCATATTACAAATAATTTTCCAGGTGGATTATTTACATATGTTCGAAAAATATCATTATTTGATGAATATTCATTTGAACATGATTTTTTTATTCGAATTTCTCAATCATTTCCATTGATTGAAAATTTATCTGTAATTAATCAAACACCACAAAATCAAAAACAATATCAAGAAACAAATTTATCGATTGCTCAATTTTCTCATCTTACTGAATTAGATTTTTATCAAGCTCATGATGATTATATTGAACAATTTTTAATTGATACAAAAACATTTTTACCCAATAATATCTTATTTGATATTGATTATCATCAATTGAAAAGAGTAACCCAAAATTTTAGAAGAGCAACAACACGAAATAATTGTGCAAAATTGGCGAAAATATATGTTGATGATGAACCTGATATTGCCAAACACATACAAGAATATTGTCCTAATACAAAGATCTATTAATTTTTTTCTTTCATTGTTATTTAAATAAAATGGTTTCAATGAAGACTAACATGTTTAGAACTAATAATTAGGGATGGGATCATGGTTCGACGAAATAATTGTTTTTATCCTTATTCTTTAACTTTTGATTTGATTTATTTGAATATAAATAAACTAAGATTACAAATGATATCAGATGTATAATAATTTCTTTCTTATTTCGTTATTAAATATATAAGACATTGATAGATATTTAAACTAGCTAATCATATTTTTAAGTTTATATAAAATCAGTAAAGTAAAATTAATTATGTGCAATGGGGTAATCATATTTTTTTCAGAAGAGTAGCACTGGGATTTCAAATAGCATAAACAATATTGTTGGAACAAATTGAAATGAATTTCAAGTTCATTCATTTCTATTTAATTCTTTATTTGGTATTAATGCAAAGTAAAACAGTTTTTTGTAATTTTATTTGATATTTGTTTTTTTTATCTCTAGAAATTTTAAAATAACAATGTTGATAAAAAGAAAAAAACAAGTATTATAATCTTCATTAAACAATAATTGCTACTATGAATGTATATATGTTCAGAAAAAGATATTTGCTAGGAAATGATTTTGTTTTAGTAAATTTTAAGCAAAATAAGATATTTTAGACAATATCATCATATTATGATTATTCTAGAATGCTCAACAAGTAATAATCAAATAATGTCATATTATAAACAAATGAATGATAAATATAATTTTGTTTCTTATAGAAATTGTATAATTAAATGAAATTAGGCCGACTTTGTTACTAGTAGTGAAGATCTATTGGAATACAATTAATCATAGTAATTTGATCACAATAAACAATTCAGTTCGCTTTCAAAGTATTGAAAAGAAGAAAAGAAAACTGATAAAAATATCTTAAAGAACAAATATTATTTTTCTTATTATTATGAATAGTCTAAGATAAATGATTTTTTGTTACTTATTGTTTTTAATTAATTATTTACAATTGTAAGCATAATGTATTGTTCCACATGTGAATGAAAAATCTTCAATTTTTATTTATTGAATTTTCTTATAGATAGCAATGGAAATGTTTCCATTTCTTGATATTCTTTTACGTTTATATGCGAATAAATACGAACACTCGAGAGAAAAATTGATTGTTTTAGTTCATTGGACTTTTTTAAGTAGAAATTTTTTAATTGTGAAGGACCATGGAGTAAGAAATAGTTTTTTTTTTTTTAACCTCAGTGGATTAATTTTTTTGTTTTAGAATAAGGAAATTATTGATTGGATAAAAAATGAAGATAATTCAATAGATATTAATTATTTTCAAGATGGTTTGGTCATACAAACCAGACAATTTTTTGACAATGAAAATTTTTTTGTTCAATTCAAGATGGAACGTATCAGACATAACACATTATCTTCTATTTTTTTTTTGTTTTTTTAATTTCTAGGATGAAAATAATGAATTACTTTTGCAAATATCATTAAATGATCATATTAATGATAATGACGGGTAAGTTTAATGTATTTCTTTTTTTTTGTTAGATCTTATCTTCTTATGAATGCTATATTATACAGATTTTGTTTTTGTATAGATCATTGAAAGATATTGATGGATTTATAATAAAAATCAACAATGAAATTCATGGATGTTCACAACAAAAACAACAAATCGATAAAAATAACGAAAAATAATGGCAACAACAAAAACAACATTAATAAATCAACAAAAGTAAGAATAACGAATATTAGTATTGAATATTTGTTTTTTTTTTAGCAATGATAGTCAACGATAAATTTCATCATCATCGTATTAAAATAAATGTTGTCTATCTTGATTTAAAAAAAAAAGAAATTAATAAAAAATTACATCATTATTTACAATAAGATAAATAAATCTAAATAAAACTATTAAATAAGCGTTATTAATGGTTACACTAGATTAGGATAGGAATAATAAAGATTATCTTTAAGTAAATATTTTGAATTCAATAACTTTGAATTCCATCTTAGATTTAAAAAAAAAACATTTATTTGCTCATTTAACAAAAGATATAGTTTGCTTAATTACTTTGAAACCAATAGAAAATTGATTAACTTAATTTAAAAATAACTATATTCTTCCTGTTTTTTTTGGAAGCTTCAGTCGAGATTTTTGCCAGATAGAATTTAAATCGATGAACTTCGATGTTAAGAATTTTTCTAACAGGACTCTTTAAATGAACTGGTGCCAATAGACATCTCATATTAACGTAATTATTTGACTTACAATTGCTTCATCTGAGATCATATCTTTTAATGTGCTCGAATGAAATTAACGGAAACTCAATAGAGCGATAAAATTAGTTTATTCTCGAAAAGAGGAACTGGTCGTTACGCAGTGTTGTTAACAATGTCGTAGTTTTAGTGGTTTACAATAATTGTTCTTAATTGTACATCTTTCGTATTTTGCATAACTTTGTCAGTTTTTATAAAAATAAAATCAATAGTCTTTTTAATTAAATTCTTCAAGATTTAATCTTATATGAGAAAATAAACGAAATATGTATCTTATTGTATTATGTTAATTTTTCTTTGTATTGATTCTCGTATTACATGTACTTGATGTCGAGTTAATCGATAGATCATTTCAATCAATTCCATAATTGACAAAAAACTAATGCCAATCCATAGCCCTGTTTGACCTCCAATATTTGAAATAACATCAACTAAACCAAGTGTTGATGTTTGTGTAGTCGTTTCGACGATTCTTGTTTCACGAAGAATATTTACAGTAAGATAATTTTCATAAATATGTTGACGCCATGTTGTTGACCAATTATTCGGTACTGGTACTGAAGAATTTTCGATAAAATTTTTTATCACATCTATTTTCGAATCGATATATGACGTTGATGATGATGTTTGAAGAACAAAACTATTTGTTGAACATTCTTGTAAACAATCTGAACAATAATTTTTCATAAGTGATGCAGAAGCAAAAAGTTTCTTGGATGCTTTGTCAAAACAGTTATCCCATGGATAACAAACAGGTGCAAATATCACATCATCTGTGCCTAGTTGAACAACCCAACGTATATACCAAAAATATGGATTAACACAACCACATTGTTCATAACTTAAAATAATTAGAATGATTGATTTCATATTAATAATTTGATTCTCTATAGATGTACTTACACATAGGTTTGTTGACAAATTTGATAACAACTACTTTGAGAATAAATATAATCTGCTGGATGATAAGTATTGAGCACAGCTTTCATTAGATCGAAAATCTTGTTTGTACAATCAGTATAAGGTGATGATAAAAAATTAGTTTTCTTTTTTCTGTAACTTATTTTATGTCTTCGTCCAGGTTCTAATTCGATACCGCTCGTTTCAATCATTGGTACTTGTTTATTATCATGAATAAGAACTAATACACCAGCAGCTTTACAAATACAGTAAAATAAAATAATTGGACGAGTTTTATTTTATTTTTTTATTACTTACCATCAGTTGAGTAGGGTACATATTGATAACTATGAGCATAAAGGCTTAGACTGAGTATACCAGCACCACCATAAAAATTTCCAAGTCGAAGACTATCATCTGTATTATTTTTCAATTTAGCATTAAATGTATAACATAAACCATAACTTGGTGATATAAATGAAATAAAATCAGCTGATGTACATTTTTCAAAATTGTATGCACATTCTTGAAGCATTGTTGATAATGGAAAAAAGTAATCTTCCAATGATTGATTTTTATTAACTTGATCAACAAGAAAAGGCCAAATAAATTTCGATTGATATTCAGATATTGTTGTTGTATCATTTGTATTTGGTATACTTAGAGAATTTGTAAAGTTTAAAAATGGTTCAATAAATCGATCGAAACGAAGTGCTGCAATATTACAAAAACTAACTGCTGCAAAATATTGTTGCCAATCACTGTTATAAGATACATCGATTGATGTTGGATAATCAAAATAGTTCATTATTGATTTAAGTATAAAATAGATCATTATACCCGTAAAAATTAAAAATGAAATCGACCAAAATGCACGATTATGAAAACTTTCACTACGAGCTATTCCTGGTAGAGCATGAGTTGATGTATTCAAACAGAATTCACGAATAATTGAACGACGACGATGACGACGAACAGTTCGTTCTAATTCATGATTCATTGTTATGATATTAATTGAAGCGCCGTTCGATGTATCATTTATCATGTTCGACATGAAACTTTGGTTTTCTAAATTAAATATTAAATCAAATATTCGTTATCTTCGTTTGTCTCATCCTACTCTTGTTTATTTTTTTTTCCTTCTTTTTTTGTAGATATTATTTGCTTACTGAATTGATATTTGGTAACAAAATTTTCTTTGATAGAAGCATATTTGAAACTGAATATGTTTAATATCATCTATTCAAAGATTTCTATATTAGTGTCTAAAAGTATTTCCACTCATTGTATGGCGGTCTCTAATAGAGCTGAGTATCTCAAATTAAGTATTCATGGTAATTCACAGATTCTATGTTTTGTTTATAAACAAAATAAAACTTAGTAAGACTCTTTTTATATTACTCTGTCAACATGAGTAAATCAGATCTTTTTGCGAATTTCAATTAAAAGAAGTTCAAGTCTTTAAAACAGACCTCAGCTATCATATGATAGATTGTGAATGAGAGTAGAGCATTCAAAAAATAAAGAACTATAGACTAGGTATCGAATAAATCTGTTTTATGAATTGGCCTCACCTTTTAAAGTAGAAAATATTTGAAAAAAAAGCTCTCATTAATTAAGATTGTCCTCCCAATGAATTCAATATGTTCATGTCGTTTCAATAAAAGGTAAATGAGAAAAAAAAACATTAGTAACAAGTTTTTTCTTAACAAAAAATAGAAGGATATTAGAAAAAGCTTTTTATTGAATTGATATATGTCTATAACGATATGTTTTTTGTACCTGATGTATTTTCGAAAAGTTAAAAAATATATTTAAAAAACAAAGACTCTATTAGCCGATGAATTTTTATTAAATGAAATATAGAAAATAGAATAAAGAAGTCAAAAATTAATAGCAAATATATATGAAAAATATCATTGTTGACATCATTTTACATTTCTTTTTTTGTCATTGTATTTTTTTTGACTCTATTGTTTGCTACTTGGCAAGCACTTTTACAATTAGAAAATGAAATGTCGAAAGAAACAACATGTTTGTCTTTTTTCTCATGGATACGTAATTTTAGATTGTCATTGTTTAAAGACACATTGATGAAGCATTCTTTTATTAAAATAAATTCATAAATAAAACTATTATTTTCTTTTTATAAAAATTTCTAAAAGAGCAGTTTCTGTCAATAATCTATATGTTAACAAAGGAGTACAAAAAATATAACTGACAAGAAACAATAAGAAAATGCAAGAGTATAAGAATTAATTTTAAATATAAAATTTGAAAATAATGAATTATATAAATATTGGAGAATAACTATTGAACATAGTTATAAAAAGTCAAAAGTATGATCGCATTGCAGTGATTATCATTAATTGATCGTCGTCTTTTTTCTCGATCATAGTTATAAATCTTTCTCTTCTTCTATTTATTTATTCAGCAAAATACGACTGTTCAATTCATCAATGTTTTATTTACAGTAAAACGTCTCTATTATGTCAATACGTTGTTATAATGAACACTCGGAATTGCTACAGAACAATATTATGTTGAAATCTTGCTCTTTTTTCTATGAACATCTCTTTATTAGAAATTCTAAAAGCCTTTTTTTTTCATCTGTACTTATTATATAGCTAAAATAATTTTCTTAATGCCAATGTTTTTTCTTAATTTTTTTATCGCATTCGTACAAAGACCTCATGCGTATATAAAAATGAAATTGATCGTTCTGTGTCTTTTTCGAGAAAAACATTTCGAAATCTATTTATAGTGAACAATTTTAAAGATTCCTTAAGCCTTTCGTATTTAGAAACTTTTAACTATTTTCATCTTCAAGTGATTCAAGTTATTTGTTGAAGTTTCTATCAATATTAATATTTAATACTATTATATTATTATTGTGATATTGCCATGAGAAAAAAAACTAAACATATAATTATAGGCATAGTTGCAGAAGTGTAAAGCTCTTACGGACGGGTCAGATCTGCAAGAAGTCGGCCAATTTGAGATTCTACTTCATAGTTACTCAACGCATAGAAATAGTTATATTTCTATAAAGTTAATATATAGATACTGAATCTATAATTGATGTGGAAGTATTGACGATCATTATGGTGTTCAACTCAAGTGCTTTCTTTCATGAGTTCATTTCTTCTGATTTCGTTACTAGCTATGACATCTGTTAGCTCGAATAAGCCATGGCTATGAGCAGAATCTATGGGCAGAATAGTCTGTCCATAGGGAAAGCAGTCATTCGCTTTTCACCTTCGGATATTCATAACTTACCTGCTAAATATGACAAAAAGCTAAAGCTTACACTGCAGCAAGACGTGTCAAAGTTCTACAGAATGTTGGAAAGATCATTTTTCAAAACTTTTTTCACGTATATTTACGATTTGAATAAGCATAGTCGACTATTTTTTTTTAATGATAGGTCAATACAGAGAATTTTTCTAATTTCTTAAAGTATTCCGATGTCTAAAATGTAAAGATATTGTCGTATAGTTATTTTTATAGAAATTTGTTTCAATATGTCCTCAAAAAAAAAACCAAATACAATTGTGTTAATTAGAAGTATTGTCTATGTGATGAGACCGATCCGACTCTTTGAATCTACCAATTATTAAACTTGTCGTGCTATTTAATCAGTAAAGGGAGGAGTTTTTCTCTTTTTTTTTGGAGTCATTATTGACTAATCGAAGACGTTTTCACTCTCTATACCAACAAAAGTCGATTATTATTCTGGCAACATTGTCAACATAAATATTTGTCTTATATTTCTAATGAAAGACGTATCGAAGCTATTTAGAAGAATTTCATTGAAACTGGTTTGGTCGATCATTTTCAATGGTCATAAAAATATTTGTGACTAATAGATGAAATTGTTCATGTGTTGCAAAATAAGTCCAAGAACCAGAGTAATCATTGAGTTTCTCAAAACGATAAAAATTTTAAAATCTATTATGCATCAAACCATAAACCAACTATTGTGACAACTATACGAGCTATTTTTCATATATTAGACATAATTCATGAACATAATCGCCGTATATCCACTCACATTCATCCTTTTACTGATATAGAAGCCATGATGAACTCAGCAATACCAATCAAGTGAATGATTGAGCCATGTTTCTTTTTGAAGTACCAACTCTTGATCAACAAAATTGCCTTGATATCCTTCAAAATTTCTTCTATCCAATTCGAAAAGTTGAATTGATGTCATGATCTCGATGATACTCATACTTAAGACAATTGGAAGGGTTTTAGTGAAAACATGTTGAAATAAATGCCTATAAAAGATCTTAACGATTTAAGTATTAAAATAATTGAAGAACTTGGAAGAAGTTAAAAAAGAAATAGTACAAAATATTTTTCTGGAAATAAGAACAAAGAGAAAATTTTTCTATTGAAATTAAAGTTGATAGTTTTAAAGAGTAATCGTAAACAAAATAGTAAACATATAAGGAAAAAAACTTTTATGATTCAATTTTCGAAACATTATAGTTTCACTAAAATTTTCATTTGGTTTGGTTGAACTGTAACGACTTTACAAGAATTGAAAATCGTTCTAAAGCAATCATCAAGAAAGATCCGTTTGGTTAAAATTATTAAAAAAAATTCATATTCATAGAAATCTTTTTGCTATTAAAAACTATTTTCGATTTTTCTTTTTAATTAACATAAGAGATCTCACGATGGTGAAATTGATTTTTTTTTAAATTTTCTTTCAGGAAAGAATTCTTACTTAAACATTACTTTCGTGCATTTAGCTACTTCTGTGTTTGACTCAGTAAAAATTGTTTCGATTTGTTTTAGCTATAAAACAAAACAAATGACATCGATCGTGATCTTCTCGCTGATGATTCAACAAACCTCAGGTGTTATTTTTAGAGTGACAAAGAAGGTGTTTTATTTTCTTTCTTACTTAAGTTTTTTGTGGCTTTTTTATTTGTCTATTGTTCTGCCATTGTTATCATATTTGCTTTAGTTTGATGATCTCTCTCTCTTTTTTTTCTTACTTACATAAAAATGTTTTATGACATATATCAGTAAGATCTAAAGATATGAAGTACCTAAATGAATATGATAAGTAAGAATGACTAGAAAAAGAAATATTCCTCCACTCAGTCCTATACAAGGTGACTAAGCTGTACAAACATATGATGATTAAAGAAGAAACCCTGAGAAAAAGCTTAGACGTTCCATATATGGTCTTCGCAATAAAAAGCAAATATTTGTAAACATATGAAATTGATCGTAGAGGAAATGAAGTAAAAAATTAAAATAATAAATCGAAATACGTTTGAATCTGTTCTAATTCAATAATTAGACTTTCAAAATCACGCGAGAAAAATAAATTATTATAGAAGTACTGAGGAAAGTCGTTGATATTTTCGCAAGATTTAACTTAATTTTAATTGTTGAAACATTAAATGTTGTACTTTCTAAAACAAAACCAAATAGGAAAATCTTTTTTTATATTGGGAGGATGAATTTCATCTTGTTTATCAATAATAACTTGAACATTTTTGCAATGATTTCAAATTTACTTGAAATTATTCTTGTAACATAGGCAAACTTCAAATCAAGTTCTAGACAATAACTTGAATGATGTTTTAGAAGAAAGTTTTTTTCTATAAAATAAAGAGAAAAACATCAAATAAGAATTAATTATTTGGAATATAAATTTCTTGATAAAAACTCTAATATGATTAATAATGTTTTAATTCTCGTACAATGAGCTTTTATTTTCGAGGAAGATTTTCAAGATTTCAACAAAAAAACTGACATCACTTTATAAATGTATTCTGTCTTTATTCAAAATCAACCATTTGGCTTCAAATATTGTCATCAGTTTGAAAATGAATGATTTATTTTATAGAGGAATCAAATGATCTTCAATTTTTGTGAAAAAGATCTTACATAAGTATATAAATTTCAACGAGTTAAGATTGTTCTTTCACAAATTTATAAATTTATAAATCAGTATACTTGTTAGATAAC